ACTTATACCACACCTCTTAAAATTTTTCCCCTTATTTTTGATTCAAGCCCTACCACAATTACTCTCTCACTTGGTTCAAAGGCTCCTATACATTCACTTAACATCTCCAAAATCTCTCTCTCTCCTCTGCATTCCTCTCTTCTCCAGGTGATAAAACGCTTATTATGACCCACTTTCACACCCAACCTTTACTTTAATCCACATAATTCTTGAATTTACACATTCATATTCTCTTTTCTCCTTCCATAACTGATCATTTAACATTACTGCTTACCCCTTCCTTTGCTCTAACTCTCTCAGATACTCCAGATTTAATCCCATTTTTTTCCCCCCTGAAACCCTCTCCTACCCCTTCAGCTTTGTTTCGCTTAGGGCCAGGACATCCAACTTCTTTTCATTCATAACATCAGCAATCATTGTTTCTTGTCATCCGCACTACATCCACGCACATTTAAGCAACCCAGTTTTATAAAGTTTTTCTTCTTCTCTTTTTTAGTAATTGTATACAGGAGAAGGGGTTACTAGCCCATTGCTCCCGGCATTTAGTCGCCTCATACGACACGAATGGTTACGGAGGAAAGTTCTTTTCCACTTCCCCATGGACAATAGAAGAAATAAAAAAGAACAAGAGCTATTTAGAAAAAGGAAGAAAACCCTAGTTTGTATGTATATTATTTATGCATGTGGTGTTGTGAAGTGTGACCAAAGTGAAAGTAGGAGTAGCAAGATATCCCTGTTATCTTAGCGTGTTTATGAGACAGAAAAAGAAACCAGCAATCCTACCATCATGCAAAACAATTACAGGTTTTTGTTTCACAGTCATCTGGCAGGACGGTAGTACTTCCCTGGGTGGTTGCTGTCTACCAACCAACATCTCCTTATATGTAAAACAATCTCATACTTTTAAGGATGCAAGCATTCGCTTTATTCATAGTCACCAGTCTGGTTGATCAATCTAATATCCAGATTCTGGCCTGGTAAAAGACAATGTTGTGGAGGCAATGTAGGTAAGTATTCATAATTTGACTTCTAACAGTTATTATTATAACACTAAATTTAAGAAATTAACAATCATGTATAATGTCTGTACAACTAGTGTACTGTCCTGTGGCATACATACCCCATCAGTTAATATTATAAAAGATGCAAACAACAACGCTAGTTCAAATACAGTATGGTATCTCACCTTTTCCGCTTCTCTAAAAGCTTTTTCGTAATTTTTCTTAGCTTTCTCTAACTGCTGTAGTGACTGGCTCAGCTGCTGTTGTACACGGCTACCATCTGATAAGTGCTATCAATAATAAAAAATATTAATAAATGTATAGAGATAAATATAAAATACTATACAGTAATTAGTATTAAAATAAAGTAAATTGAAAGAAAATAAAATTATAATCATTTCATGTTCTAACTGCTGTTGTATTCCCCAACTATAATATTGTGTATTTAACTTCATTGATTTCTTTCATTTAAGAATACTCTTTTTGTCCAATACAGCATTTTATATTCAGTACTATTCCTTTTCAATTACAAATACAGCCTCTCCTCACTTAACGATGGAGTTCCATTCCTAAGACCACATCGGTAAACAAATTTGTCGCTAAGTGAAGAGCATACTATAATGGTAGTGATTTTCTGTCAACCATCTTTGATATTGTTTTAATATCACCTTCAGACCATTTATAACATTTCTGGTGTATTTTTAAATGTTTATACACTAATGTACTGTATATTGTAATACACAGAATAGAGGAAATCAGTTCTAATATACATTAATTAGGTATGTATACTGGTCAGAGAGCCTGTTGTAAGTCCGATCTGTCGGTAAACAAGTACGTTGCTAAGTGAGGAGAGGCTTTAGTATTAACCCTTTGACTGCTGCAACCCCAAATCCTGAGGTGTCTCCTGGTGTCGCAAAATTTCCGAAAAAAAAAATATTTTCCCGATTGTAATGACACCAAACGAACGAAACTTGATGGAAAACTGACGGAATTACACTCTCACGTCGTTAGCCACCTCGGTGATATTTACGAATCGACGATTTCGCCCACTTGCAGCCCCATTTTTAGCTAATTCTATTGTTCCAGTCGACCAAACTCGTAGATATTTCTTTAGAACTCCATTTTTGCTATCGACTGAGTACAAGAAACTGTCCATTTACCGATTTCAACTACCCAATAACGTGGTCAGAAATTTGCAACTTGGCCAATTTCACGAAAATTAAAAAATATGACAAATTCAAAATAGGGTCCAGAATGAACAATGCAGACATTCCTGGCTCTAAAATAACATTTTCTTTGTTCATCAGTCATGTCTCCAGGCCCCTCTGACATTACTCTTGCTTTCTATTTTAAATTTTTATTCAAACAAAAAATAGAAGATTTACTGTTATGCAGACTACTGCAATATTGTAATAATTGCATAAATAATGTCAACCCATTCATGACTGCATATTACAATGGCTACTTGGACATTTATTGGAAAATGACATCATCTGTTTACTTTTGAACATCGGCAAAAATCAAACATTTCCCCTACTTTGAGCTCCATTTCAAGGTTCTTTTCACAGTAAAGCCAATCAAAATCACCTCTATTTCTATAATATGTGTTCCATTCTATCAAATGAGACAGAAAGTGAGAATACAACCATAAATACTATACAAAAATAGACCACAAAGTCAGCATTTTAATTATAAAAAAAAAACGGTCGGATTTTTTTTTTCTCATTGTGCACTGTGTGCTGCCGGTTTTTTTTTATATGGTGCACACTGACCACGCAGACCCATTCTCTTACATGTGGTCCTACCAGCTTTCTCCTGCTTGATTTGAAGCCGCTAGAATTTATGAGTATATATACGTCAAACACGGTGGCTCGTAAGACGTATATATACGACCGAAACAGTCAAAGGGTTAAACAACAACACAAAAACAACAACAATAATAATAATAATTTAAAAATAATAATAATAATATAATAATAATAATAATAAATAATATAATTAATAATAATTGATTTCTGCATGATACAATGTTTGTACAGAGATAAGTAACAGTTACATATGCATACAGAAATCCCAGAGTTATGCAGAGCATTTCAGGCAAACCTAAGCAATTTATAATTAATGCTTATATGTTAACTAAACATAATGGAGCTACAATACTGATACTGTCTTGCTCAGTGAAGTGATATTTCCATTGCTACAAGTTTGGAAAGGCAAGTTTGTGTTTGTAAGTAATTAACTGGTTCTATAGTGCCACCATCATAAGTACAGATCATCATAAATCAGGGCACTTCTGCATAATATCTTGTGATAATATACAGTAGGACCCCACTTATATGGCAGGTTTGGCTCTAGGCTACCGCCGTAAAGTGGAACGCTCCTTTTTTCCACTCATAAATGCATTTAAATGCCAGATAACAAGTTTACACTAACATATATTAACAATAGAACTAGGAATTAAAAAACAATAAAATACATATGTATACAGTAAACTTATTTACCTTAAAATATTTGTAGTCTTGATGTAGGGTGAGATGAGTAGTATTTATTGTAAGAAATCAGGTGTGGTAGGTTACACAATTAACCTGCACATAGAAGAGAGAAGCTTACGACGACGTTTCGGTCCGACTTGGACCATTCACAAAGTCACACCAACGAGAAGTAGAGCAGGACGGGTATAAATGGTCTGAGTCGGACCAAAACGTCGTCGTAAGCTGCTCTCTTCTATGTGCGGGTTATTTGTGTATTGTTCCAGTCACGGTATTGTGCCTTTTTTTGTTATTAGGTATGGTAGCCAGGCCAGGCAACCCCCACCCAACCCCACCCACAAGTAATATACTATGACATTTAAAGAGCCCCAGAGTGATAAAATGCATATACAGTTAAGATAAGATAAGATAAGATAAGATTTCGTTCGGATTTTTAACCCCGGAGGGTTAGCCACCCAGGATAACCCAAGAAAGTCAGTGCGTCATCGAGGACTGTCTAACTTATTTCCATTGGGGTCCTTAATCTTGTCCCCCAGGATGCGACCCACACCAGTCGACTAACACCCAGGTACCTATTTGCTGCTAGGCGAACAGGACAACAGGTGTAAGGAAACGTGTCGAATGTTTCCACCCGCCGGGAATCGAACCCGGGCCCTCCGTGTGTGAAGCGGGAGCTTTAGCCACCAGGCCACCGGACCAGTTCACTCATTACTTACCTACAAATATTTGTAGTCTTAATGTAGGGTGAGATGAGTAGCATTTATTGCAAGAAATCAGGTGTGGTAGGTATGGTTGCCAGCCAGGCCACCCCCACCCAACCCCTCCCCTCTCCATCAGAGGTGGGGGTGGGGTGGGAGCAAGTCTGGCTTTGGTTGATACACGTTCAGTCCCATGTCTGTGAATCTTATACCATAATACAAACACCTTACATTGTGTACAAGTTGTCTCCACATTGGTAAAGTAGAATAAATAAAGAGCAACACTCCCATTCTCATGTAACACTATTTTTAGAAGTGACACTCTAAGTGAAGGCATATGAAAGAAATAATTTTCTACAGTTACCCCCAGTAATATTATTGTATACACATTTTCTTTGGTGTTGAACTATTGAAAATGTTATTCTTTCCGACACCGACAAGACGACTGCAAAAAATCTCATATCTATGTTAATTTATTCTACTGTGGGGTGTATTTATCATGTTTATATGTCATGCAGTGTGTTTATTATATAATTTTGAAAAAAAATCATAGATGGATTAATGAAAATGAGTACATATACATTAACGTAATACAGTGGACCCCCGGCTTACGATATTATTTCATTCCAGAAGTATGTTCAGGTGCCATTACTGAACGAATTTGTTCCCATAAGGAATATTGTGAATTAGATTAGTCCATTTCAGACCCCCAAACATACACGTACAAACGCACTTACATAAATACATTTACATAATTGGTCGCATTGGGAGCTGATCGTAAAGCAGGGGTCCACTGTACAGTGGACCCCCGCATAACAATTACCTCCGAATGCGACCAATTATGTAAGTGTATTTATGTAAGTGCATTTGTACATGTATGTTTGGGGGTCTGAAATGGACTAATCTACTTCACAATATTTCTTATGGGAACAAATTCGGTCAGTACTGGCACCTGAACATACTTCTGGAGTGAAAAAATATCTTTAACCGGGGGTCCACTGTATATGACATTTAAACATGCCTCAGACTGATTATTATTGAGTATTATTATCATTATTAATATGGCGTCCTCAAGACATAAGACACTCAGTGATTTTAATGTGTAGTTGCATGCCAGCACAGTGTGTAAGTTTACTTAGTACATGTACACAAAAGCATAATTATCAGAGTATAGTATATATGAAATAACTTTAAAACACTTAAAATTTTGGAAAGTTTCCAGACATGATGGAGAGACTTGAAGTTCAAGGAGAATGTAAACAAATCGGGTGGGGCGTGCCGTATTAGAAAGGCAGGGGGAATCATATAGTGAGTTTTGGTCATAATTTGAAATTGCCGTATTAGCGGAATGCCATAAGGCAAAACACCATTAAGCGGGGCCCTACTGTATATTGTCAGCAAAATTTGTGATTTAGCTAAAATATATAAATTATTATGATTACAATTTTAGGGGAAAAATTAGGAAAAATCTTTTTATTTTATCTGAGGCAAGCTCAACTGCAGCACTAGTTAGACCACTAAATTTTTTTTATGAAATGCTCTATAAATATTTGAAACAGGTTGGACATCACTAATCAAGTTTCATCAGTAATCTGGCACTAAGTTCAGCTAGTGTACTTTCAAATTTCTGGGATCACCACACCAACTTGCTGCTACTGTTTGGTGGCACTACTTGCTGCATAATTCATTTCAATTTGTTTTTCTCCACTTTTAGCCCTAGCCATAGTTCCAACGAATAAAGGAAATGCTTCTTGTTGTGTAAGGTGCAAATGCCATATATTGTCCATAATAACATAAGGTGGCTTTGAAGCCATTGTCTGTCCCGTAGTATGACACCATGAGCTCAGCTCACTCAGATAAGCTGTGACCAGTAAATTTGGGCCTACATGTGAGAGAATAGGTCTATGTGGCAAGTGTGCACCATATAAAAAAAATCCTGCAGCACGCAGTGCATAATGAGAAAACTGTGACCATATTTTTGGTGTAAAACATAAACTTTGCGGTGTATTTTTGTATGGTTATTACAGTTGTAGTCTTAGTTTTTTTTTTTCTCTCATTTGATAGAATGGAAGATATATTACAGAAACAGAGATAATTTGGACTGGGTTCAGGATGGAAAGTACAGTACCTCGAAACTGAGCTCAAAGTTGCAGAAATGTTCAATTTTTGCCGATGTTCAAGAATAAACAAATCACATCATGTTTTCAATACGTGTCCAACTGGCTGGTCTAATACATGGTCATGAATGGATTGACATTATGTATACAATTATTACAATAATGCAGTAGTCTGTATAACAGTAACTCTTCTATTTTTTGTATGAATAAAAATTCAAAATGGAAAGCAAGTATAATACAGAGGGGCCTAGAGACATGGCTAATGAACAGAGGAAATGTTATTTTAGTGCCAGGTATGTCTGCACTGTTTATTCTGGACCCTATTTTGAAAGTGTCATTCATCTCTTGAAAGTTGTGTGAAATTGGCCAAATTACCAATTTCTGATCACTTTTTTGGGTAGTTGAAATAGGTAAATGGGCGGCTTCTTGTACTCAATTGACAGAATAAAAGGAATACTAGCGAAATAGCTATGAGTTTGGTTGACTGGAAGAATGGAATGGGCCAAAAATAGGGCATAAATTGGGGAAAATCGCTGATGTATAAATATTGCCATTAGGTTAAGTATATTCTAACCTAACCACTCTGTAATCCGTCAAAAATCACTAATCTGGCACCCTACAGGTTCCGATGATGCCGGATTATTGATGGTCAACCTGTACTATATATATTTTTTTTAACAAGTCGGCCATCTCCCACCGAGGCAGGGTGACCCAAAAAGAAAGAAAATCCCCAAAAAGAAAATATTTTCATCATCATTCAACACTTTCACCTCACTCACATAATCACTGTTTTTGCAGAGGTGCTCAGAACACAACAGTTTAGAAGCATATACATATAAAGATACACAACATATCCCACCAAACTGCTAATATCCTGAACCCCTCCTTTAGAGTGCAGGCACTGTACTTCCCATTTCCAAGACTCAAGTCCGGCTATATATCATTATTAATTATAAAGTCACATGTACTTTCAACAGAGTTAAAGTGATTTAAGAAATAACACTACACTCAAATTATTTTCCTGGCCACTTTAAAACAAATACCGTCCCCTAAGTTATTAATATAGACAATTCTTGTCATCCTACAGTTGATAATTCCAACTATAATTCTAGTTATGATGATTTCTCTCTATTCACTTTAATTCAAGTTCTGGCATATTCAAATTTATGAAAATTTTAAATTATTGATATATGAATTAACTCCCTCTCTTATTTGAGAAAAAAAAAACAAGTACAGTAGGGCCCCATTTATACGGCGAGTTAGGTTTCAGGTTATCGCCGGAAAGCAGAACTCCATTTTTCTATTTATAAATGCATATAAATGCTAGACAACAAGTTTACACTAAATTATATTAAGTTAGTAATAGAACTAGGCATTAAAAAACAAAAAGTAAAATACATACACAGTACACTCATTACTTATCTTAAAGTACTGTACGTATTTGTAATCTTAATGTAGGGCGAGAGGCGAGTTGTAGTACTTATTTGTAGGAAGTCAGGTGTAGGAAGCCCTGGCTCCCCATCTCATACTTAATATAGGATATTTAAAACAGCCCAGAGAGTTAAAATACACATACAGTACACTCATTATTTACCTTAAAATATGTGTAGTCTTAAAGTAGGAAGAGAGGTGAGTAGTATTTATTTGTAGGAAGTCAGTGTAGGTAGCCGGTAGGTGTAGACCGCCTGGGCTACACCTACCGGCTACCTACACTGTGGCCCAGAGCCATATTATTAGCATCAACATACCTTGTTCACTGAATTTAATCTTTTCTAACAACTACCTTTAGATGCCATCATAAACGAAGGGAGAAGTAATGAATAATTCATGCCGAAAATTGTAAAGAAAAGTGGAGTGGGGGAGTGACTGGGCCAAACGCAGATTCGTACACGTTTTCTCTGGTGGCTGACCAGAGAAAACGCAATGTTGTCCCTCCACCCGGCTACCACACAGGTCCACAGGTATTATTATCAGAGCACGTACAAAATATCCAATAAATGGCAGACAACAAGTTTACACCAACTTACATTAAGTTAGCAACAGAAATAGGCATTAAAAACACAATAAAAGGTAAGATACACACAGAGTACACTTATTACTTACCTTAAAATATTAATATTAACATGTGAGAGGTGAGTGGCAGGGTGTTTATTGAATAAAATCAGAATGGCACACCATCATCCTCTAACTTGGCACTTAAAGCAAGAGTCTTATGACTCCTCTTTTTATCACAGCTAAGCTTAGATGCCATCATCAATAAGAGCCAACTAGTTAACGAAAGAGTAAATGAGAGAGAGAACGAGATACAGAGTTCAGACAATGTAAGAACACAAACTGAACAGGTAGTGGGCGATCACTTGGTCATGCGAAATAAATGCGTATTAATGTGTGTCTACTTTTAGTTCATTCACGTACGTTTGTAAGAGTTTGTAAAACATTTACCTCAATATTTTTTTTATAATAATAATAATTACCTCACAATACAAATACTCTTACATTGTGTACAAGTTGTACAAGTTAGTACAGAATAAACAAACAGCAACACATCATTTTTAGAATGAATGAAGATATTATTATTGTTATTATTATTATTAATTATTATTATTATCATCATAATAAAAAGCACTAAACCCACAAGGGTCATGAATTGCTATATATAGAGTGAAGGCATACGAAAATAATATTTTTCTACAGTTATCCCCCAGTTTGACTAGAGAAAATGTAATTCTTCCGACACTACCTACACAGCCGCTTTGTAAACAAATCTCATATTTACATCAATTTTTATTCTGTGAGTGTATGTATCATGTTTATATGCTATGTAACTGGTTTCATATATAATTTTGAGGAAAATATCATAGATGGATTAATGAAAATGCCTATAGTATTAATGTAAAATAAGACATTTAACCCTTTGGGGGTTTCGGACGTACTAGTATGTCTTACGACCGAGGGTTTTTGACGTACTAGTACGCCTAAATTCTAGCGCCCTCAAATCTAGTGAGAGAAAGCTGGTAGGCCTACATACATATCTAAGAATGGGTTTATGTTGTCAGTGTGTGCAGTATAAAAAAAATCCTGCAGCACACAGTGCGTAATGAGAAAAAAAACTCTGACCGTGTTTTTGGATTAAAACAGCAACTTTGCACTGTATTTTCGTATGGTATTTATTGTTGTATTCTAGTTTTCTTGGTCTCATTTTATAGAATGGAAGACATATTACAGAAATTGAGATGATTTTGACTGGTTTTACAATGAAAAGTACCTTGAAATTGAGCTCAAAGTAGCAGAAATGTTCGATTTTTACCAAAGTTCAAAAGTGAACAAATCATGCCAAGCGTCCAATACACATCAACTGGCGAGTCTAATATTCTTTCACAAGTGCGTTGATATTATTTATACCATTTCTACACTAATGCAATAGTCTGCGTAACAGTAAATCTTATTTTTTGTAAGAATAAAAATTCAAAGCGGAAAGCCAAAGAAATATAAAAGGGGCCTGGGGATGTGACTAACGAACAGAGAACTTGTTATTTTAGTGCCAGAAATGTCTTTCTTGTTTATTCTGGACCCTATTCAGAAATTGGCATCTTTTGAAATTTGTGTGAAATTGGAAAAATTGCTAAATTCTGACCACTTTATTGGATAGTTGAAATCGGTAAATGGGTGGTTTCTTGTACTCATTCGATAGAAAAAATGGAGTTTTAGCGAAATAGTTATGATTTTTGTCGACTAGTACACTGGAATTGGCCAAAAATTGGGCTCAAAGTGGGCAGAATCGCCGATGCGTAAACATCGTCGAGACCGCTAACTTCGCGAGAGCATAATTCCGTAAGTTTTCCATCAAATTTCATACTTTTGGTGTCATTATGATTGGGAAAAGATTCTCTATCTTTTCATAAGAAAAAATAATTGTTTTTTTTCTGAAATTTGGCCGACCCTGAGAACAAGTCTCTGAGAGAACCTGTCGACCCCCAAAGGGTTAATGTGCCCAAGAGTGATTATTATTACGTAGTACTGGCGTCATGAGTAGAGAGACTTAGTGATTTTAATGTGTACCTGCACACCAGCACAGTGTGTACGTATATTTAGGTACAGGTACACATAAGTATAATTATCAGATTGCATATAAAATACGCAGTAACTTTAAAACACTTGAAATTTTGCTAAGTTTCCTGACATAACAGATGTGGTTACCGAGAATGTAAACAAACCGGGTGAGGCACGCCGTATTTGAAAAACCGCTTGCCGTATAGCAAATTTTGGTCATAATTTCACATCGCCGTATTAGCGGAACGCTGTAAGGTGAAATGCCATAAAGTGGGGGCCTACTGTAGATAAAAATCCTGAAATTAAATTAAATTTTTTCATTTATTCAGAAAACTCATGAATTCAAAATCTCAAAATACTGTACATTTTCTCTTAGAAAAATTACAAATTAAGAAATACTATTTAATTTTTTGAAGTTGCAATTACTGTTTTAAATAGTACACTAATTGAAAAATTAAAAAATTAAGCAAATGTTCTTTACTATTCAAAAGAAAACAAAAAGTATATACTACTGCAAAGATTTTTCCCAAATAAAATTAAACAACATCGTTATCTTCTCAATTTGAGAAAATTCATTTAAATTATTGTATATATTAAATACCTTTTTTCTATCCTCCTTAAACTCTTTAATGAGAGTGGTAATCTCTGCTAGGACTACAGCACTGAGTGTTTCTGAGATGACTTCATGCTGGCCTGCCAGGTCAGCTGTTTCACCGACTGCATCACGAAATGCCTTTACACTGGTGAATCTGAAACAAATGTGCATTAAAAGTATGGAATTATTTAAGAAAGTGGATGATTCATGAAATTATGTTCAAAACTAAATGACTCCTTTTCCCCCCTTTCTCTTTTCTCCTACTTCTCTTACCCTTACATTCTTCTTCTCTCTTCACTTTCCTCTTCCCCCATCATTCATGTGTAACCCATATTTCAAAAATGAACATCTGCACATCTGAAGTGTATTTATCACATATCCATTAATAATACGAGTTTAATATTGCAGAGTACACGAACAAACACAATGATTACATTAACTTGTGGCACACTTATGATCAATTTCATGGGTTGCTCTTCCCTCACAGCCTGGCTTGACATAACTGTGACCTGTTTTGTGGGTTCTAACCCTCTCATCTCTGTCGGACACAGCTGCAACTGGTTTTGAAGGTTCTTCTCTCACAGCCCACTCTATCACCCAATTTTGAGGGTATTTCTACTCTCACAGCCCAGCCGGGCTAATCTGTAGCCCATTTTGAGGATTCTTCTACCTCACAGCCTGATGTTAATTCAAACTTACTTGTTGATTGCCTGAGCAACCTGGCTGTAGATCTTAAAACACACAGCCATGACAACCTGGTTGATCTGAACTTCTTGCAGGTTCTGGATATACAGTGGTCCCTCAATAATCGTCCGGCCTGAAAGTCGTCCATTTCGGAAATAGTCCTGTTTTTTCGTCAAAATATTGGCTCGCAAATGGTCCGGTAACTCGCTAATAGTCCTTCGTCCTGGACGCATACTCACGCTCTGAGCCGCCTCGGCCTTTCTTTCCCAGCCAGTGTGCCATTGTTTACCAGTGAGCAATGGTCCCCTCGCGTGCTCCAGCGAAATATTTCATATTCCATTTATTTTAGTGCTTGCAAGTTATTTAAGTGCTAATTAAGCTACCATGGCTCCGAAGAAAGCTCCTAGTGCCAAGCCTTTGGTAAAGAAGGTGAGAAATACGATTGAATTTAAGATTTGGTAAAGAAATTGCCTGCAACTAGTGGTGATGTGAGTGAATTTAAGGCCAGCAAAGGCTGGTTTGAGAGATTTAAGAAGCATACTGGCATACACAGTGTGGTAAGGCATGGTGAGGCTGCCAGTTCGGACCACAAGGCGGCTGAAAAATATGTGCATGAATTCAAGGAGTACATAAACAGTGAAGGACTGAAACCTGAACAAGTGTTCAACTGTGATGAAACAGGCCTCTTTTGGAAGAAAATGCCAAAGAATGGTCCTAGTGGCATTAAGAAACAGAGAAGAGAAGAAACCCCAGAAAAGCAATTGGTACCCGAGGTGTTGATGGAAGGGGATTCCCCTTCCAAACAGTAAATCATCCAATCTGTCTCCTTCTCCAGTCTTCCATACACAAAGAAGAATCGCCAATAAAGGTAAGTGTTATTCTGTTAATGTTTAATTCATCATGTGCCACTGTATTGTTTATGTACTACATCTATATTTCATGTAAAAAATTTTTTTGTTTTAATGCTTCTGGGTGTCAGGAACAGATTAATTGAATTTACATTATTTCTTATGGGGAAAATTGATTCGTAAATCGTCCATTTCGATAATACTCCCACTTCCAGGAATGGATTATGGACGATTATTGAGGGACCACTGTATTTCTGTTATCTGCTGGTAAAAGGATAAGGAGTGTATTTGACATTTACACTTGTCTCTCTCTAGCAAGTTTCTATAGTAATGTGCAGACTGGAAACTTGAACCTTCAAGTACACCAGATGGTCATAATTCACGTGTCACATTCTTGAAATCTGTGATACAAATAATATCTACAACTCATGGAGTGAAAAGCACATAAAAAAATAAGACTGCAATTCTCAGACCACCAAAAAAGCCTAACAAATATTTGTTTTTATCTAACACTGTTGATGACACTCTGAGGCACCTGAACTCTAGTGAGGTTTAGACAAAGAACTGGAAGAGTACATGTAGCCAAAAACCCCAAAAAATATAAAGACTATATTAATAACTACAGTGGTACCTCAAATATCAGCCGAAATTCATTCCAGAAGGCTGTTCAAGTGCTGTTACCGAACGAATTTGTTCCCATAAGGATTAATGTATATTAGATTAGTCTGTTTCGGACCCCCAAAGATACACTTACAAAAGCACTTACAAAAATACACTTACATAATTGTTTGAGTTGGGAGCTGTTCGAAATTCGAGGTACCACTGTATGTATTTGTTACTTACCTTCAAGTCAGGCTGATACCTGAAATGAATGGAGAGAGTGGCTGTGGTCCTACTGGGCCAAGGTTGATTTTTGTGGTTGGTTTACGTCAAGGAGGGAGGGAAGGGTTGGAGAAGAGAGTGAAGACGTAACAATATTAACAATATTACCCTACAGGTAACAGGCTGGTGGGTTATAAAGCCAGTGTCTGTGGAGGTAATGAGAGACATTCACATCCCCCATCTCCACATATCTACTTGCATGCTTGTTTTTGTTCCTATGCACCTATCATAGGTAACAGGTGTCAACAGACTGCTGATGTATCCAAATGTTTTTAATAAAAAAAGTAGGTATGTGTACATGCTGTAGGAAAGAGAGGGGGTTACATATTTTTCTGTTTCTTCATATACATTTTCACTGCATCCTTCTGTGTGTGCTTCTTTCTGTTTCTTATGCCTGAGTCTTGTTTCTTTTTATCTCTAATCTCTGAAAGACCCATCAAGATTTTCTTTCAGTGTGGAGATGCCTTTCATAATAGTATCTGCTATTTTTAGGAATGGTGCATTGTCATGTTCAACCCAGTAATGATGTGATTGTGCACACCATTTTCACTCATTCCCCATCAGCCTGATACATTTGAGGTAACATAAGAACATAAGAAAGAAGGAACACTGTAACAGGCCTACTGACCCATGTGGAGCAGGTCCATGTCCCCCCCCCCCGATTAGCCCAATGACCCACCCAGTCTGGTCACCTCCACTCAAGGAAGAAGCATGGCACCAGACCCAGCAGCACAAGCTAGCCAGGTCTAACTCACACCTACCCACACCCACTCATGTATTTATCTAACCTATTTTTAAAACTACACGGTACTCAGGAGTTTGTTCCACTCATCCACAACTCTATTACCAAACCAGTGCTTTCCTATATCCTTCCTGAATCTGAATTTTTCCAACTTGAAACCACTGCTGCGAATCCTGTCCTGGCTGGAAATTTTCAGCACGCTATTTACATCCCCTTTATTTATTCCTGTTTTCCATTTATACACCTCGATCATATCCCCCCTAATTCTACGCCTTTCAAGAGAGTGCAGATTCAGGGCCCTCAGTCTATCCTCATAGGGAAGATTCCTGATACATGGGATCATCTTTGTCATCCTCCTCTGTACGTTTTCCAGAGCATTTATATCCATTCTGTAATACGGTGACCAGAACTAAGCAGCATAGTCTAAATGAGGCCTAACCAAGGATATACAGAGTTGAAGAACAACCTGAGGACTTCTATTATTTATACTTCTAGATATGAAGCCAAGAATTCTGATATCTTTATTGCAAACACTAATGCACTGTTGTCTTGGTTTTAGATTACTGCTAACCAGAACTCCTAAATCCTTTTCGCCATCAGTGGTATTAATATCTACATTATTTAGTTTATGTATATGTTGCATGGTTATTTACCTGTCCAACATTTAGAACTTTGCATTTGTCAATATTAAACTGCATCTGCCACTTCTCCGACCATTGCATCAGTCTATTCAAATCATCCTAGAGTGCTCTAGCGTCCTCATTAGACTGAATTGGACGGCCTATTTTGGTGTCATCAGCAAATTTGCTTATGTCACTATATATTCCCTCATCTATGTCGTTTATGTAAATTGTGAACAACAACTGGCCCAACACTGACCCCTGAGGAACACTGCTTGTGACGTGCCCCCATTCTGATTTCTCCCCATTTATGCAAACTCTCTGCTGCCTATTTGTCAGCCATGCCTCTACCCAGGAAAAAATTTCTCCTCCTATGCCGTGTGCCTTAAGTTTCCTCAATAGCCTCTGGTGTGGAACTCTATCAAAAGCCTTACTGAAGTCCATATACACAATATCATATTCATTACCATGATCTACCTCCTCAAACTCCTTAGTGAAAAAAGTTAGTAAATTTGTAAGACAGGAACGCCCCTTTGTAAAACTGTGTTGAGATTCTTTAATCAATCTGTACCTATCAAGATGGCTACGAATTGCTTCGGCAATTATTGATTCCATAAATTTTCCCACTATGGAGGTATGGCTTATTGGTCTATAGTTCGAAGCCAAGGACCTGTCACCTGCCTTGTAAATAGGTATTACATTTGCCATTTTCCACTTATCCAGCACTATGCCAGTTTGTAGTGATATGTTAAAAAGATTAGCCAAAGATATGCTAAGTTCCTCTTTACATTCCTTTAACACCCTTGCAAACAGTTCATCAGGACCTGGGGATTTGTTAGGTTTTAGTTTCTCTATTTGTCTGAGGACCATGTCACTAGTTACCGCAATCGTGAATAGTTTATTATCATCCTGTTCTACATAATCTATTATTTCAGGAATATCGCTAGTATTTTCCTGGGTGAAAACTGAGAGGAAGTAGGTATTGAGAATTTCACACATATCCTTATCACTGTCAGTGATCTGACCAGAGTTACTCTTAAGTGGGTCAATCTTGTCCCTAATCTTACTTCTGTATACCTGAAAGAACCCTTTTGGGTTAGTCTTTGAATTCCTTGCGACCTTAGCCTCATAATCCCTTTTTGCTTTTCTTATTCCTTTCTTTATTTATTTATTATTTTTTTATTATTATCACACTGGCCGATTCCCACCAAGGCAGGGTGGCCCGAAAAAGAAAAACTTTCACCATCATTCACTCCATCACTGTCTTGCCAGAAGGGTGCTTTACACTACAGTTTTTAAACTGCAACATTAACACCCCTCCTTCCGAGTGCAGGCACTGTACTTCCCATCTCCAGGACTCAAGTCCGGCCTGCTGGTT